TGGTGTTTTGTATTTTTCTCCTGTGTACAGAAATAATTCATCAGTTCATTTTGGAACAGCAGAAAGGAAACAGAGTGCCTCTCTGCATCAACCCTCAGTCTGCTGCTTTTAAGAGCTTTATTAGGTAACTGTATGTAATCACATCTGATATTAATTCCCATTTATTAATTTGCACATCCAGAATGTTTTGGGGTTTCAGTTTTCTCTGAGAGCAGGAAAGGCCCGTAGATAAAACCCTGGTAAACTATTTATACGAGCTCTTCTAGAATTTAAATAAAATGTGCAAAAGTTTCAGATACTGCTATTGTGTAAAAGAAGAGAAGTCAGACTGAAAATGAGAACAGGAGGGTCAGCAAGCTGGGTCCTGGTTGCAGAATTAGCATTAGAAGGGGTGCAAACAGGCAGATAAAAGGTGGTGCAGTGTTTGCTGTCAGGGTTGGGGGGGTTCTGTTCCCCTGGCTGTGCTCCAGCCCAGCACTGAGGTTGTGCCTGGGAGCTCCTGCAGGTGAACTCTGACTGTGTGTGTCCCTCCCTGGCTGTGTGTGTCCTTCCCTGACTGTGTGTGTCCCTCCCTGACCGTGTGTCCCCCTCCCTGGCTGTGTGTGTCCCTCCCTGACTGTGTGTGTCCCTCCCTGACTGTGTGTGTCCCTCCCTGGCTGTGTGTCCCTCTCTGACTGTGTGTGTCCCTGCCCTGACTGTGTCTGTCCCTCCCTGACTGTGTCTGTCCCTCTCTGACTGTGTCTGTCCCTCTCTGACTGTGTGTGTCCCTCCCTGACTGTGTCTGTCCCTCCCTGACTGTGTGTGTCCCTGCTCTGATTGTGTGTGTCCCTCTCTGACTGTGTGTGTCCCTCCCTGACTGTGTGTGTCTCTCCCTGACTGTGTGTGTCCCTCTCTGACTGTGTGTGTCCCTGCTCTGACTGTGTGACCCTCCCTGCCTGTGTGTGTCCCTGCTCTGACCGTGTGTGTCCCTCCCTGGCTGTCTGTCCCTCCTGACCGTGTGTGTCCCTCTCTGACTGTGTGTCCCCCTCCCTGCCTGTGTGTGTCCCTGCTCTGACCGTGTGTGTCCCTCCCTGGCTGTCTGTCCCTCCTGACCGTGT